TCATATATCTGATGAGGGATTAATATCCAGAATATTAATAAAGAATCCTACCATTTGACAAGGAAAAACACCAATTTAAAAATAGGCAAAGGACTAGAATAGGCATTTCTCCAAAGATACACAAACAGCCCGATACGAAAATATACTCAATATCAAAAGTCAAAACTACAATGAGACACCACCTCCCACCCATTAGGAGGGCTATTATCCAAAAAAACAAAAACAGAAACAAAAACAGAGAGACAACAACGGGTGTTGGTGAGAATGTGGAGAAACTGGAACCCTTGAGCATGACTGTTGGTAAAGTGAAGTAGGTCAAGTGTTGTAAAAAATAGTATGGCAGTTGTAGCTGCACCATTTTAAGCACAATTACCATAGGATCCAACAACTCCACTTCTAAGTGTATACACGAAAGAACTGAAAGCAGGGGCTCAGTTACTTGCACACCAATATTCAAAGCAGTATTATTCACAGGAGCTAAAATGTGGGGACAATCCAAATATCCAACAACAGATGAATGGGTAAACAAAATGTGGTGTGTGTGTGTGTATATATATGTGTGTGTGTATATATATATATATATATATATATATATATATATATATATATGTATATATGTGTATATATATATGGAATATTATTTAGCCCTACAAGGAATGGAATTCTGACACACACTACAACATGATATAAACCTTAAAAACATTATGCAAAGTGAAATAAGCCAGACACAAAAGAACAAATATCGTTATGATTTCACTTATATGAGGTACCTAGAACAGGCAAATTCATCGAGCTTCAAGGTGGGAGAAATGGGGAGTTATTGTTTAATGGGTACAGAATTTCTGTTTTGGATGATTAAAACATTCTGGAAATATACAGTGATGATGGTTGCACAACAATGTGAATGTATTTAATGCCAGTGAATTATACATTTTTTTTTTTAACATTTATTCATTTTTGAGAGACACAGAGACAGGGAGTGAGCATGGGAGGGGCAGAGAGAGGGAGACAAAATCTGAAATAGGCTCCAGGCTCCGAGCTGTCAGCACAGAGCCTGACGTGGGGCTCAAACCCACAAACTGTGAGATCATGACCTGAGCTGAAGTCAGACACTTAACCGACTGAGCCACCCAGGTGCCCCAGAATTACACATTTTAAAAATAGAGGCACCCGGGTGGCTCAGTTTGTTAAACCTCCAACTTCAGCTCACGTCATAATCTCACGGTTTGTGGGTTCAAGCCCCACCCCACGGTCGGCTCTGTGCTGACAGCTCGGGGCCTAGAGCCTGCTTCGGATTCTGTGTGTGTGTGTGTGTGTGTGTGTCTCTCTCTCTCTCTCTCTCTCTCTCTCTCTGCCCTCCCCTGTTTGCACTCTCTCTCAAAAATAAATAAATAAAAAGGGTCAAAGTAGGGGGCACCTGGGTGAGTTTGAGCCCTGCAACGGGCTTTGTGCTGTCAGCAGGCTCTGTACAGAGCCTGCTTGGGATTCTCTCTCCCTCTCTCCCTCCCCCTCTCTCTCTCTCTCTCTCTGGCACTCCCCTACTTATATTCTCTCTCAAAATAAATAAACTTAAAAAAAACTTTTTTTAACTTCTGTTTATCAAAATATACCATTAAGAAAATGAATAGGCATGTCACACATTAGGACAAAATATTCACAACACACATATTTGAAATCAGACTTGTATTCAAAATATAGAAAATAGAAAATATATTACAATTTAATAAAAAGAGGGGCACCTGGGTGACTCAGTCAGTTGAGCGTCTGACTCTTGATATTGCTCAGGTCATGATCCTAGGGCTATGGGATTGAGTCCCATGTCAGCCTCCATGCTGAGCATGGAGCCTGCTTGGGATTCTCTCTCTTTCCCCAGCTTGTGCTCTCACAAAGAAAAAAAA